TGAGTAGTTTGTTCATTACCTGGTGATGAAGATATTATAAAAACATCATTGGATGAAACTAAAGTAACTGATGGGTCACTCCATATGTCCCATAATCTTGTAATGGTCATTACCTATCATGTTATACATCACATGGTCTTCTAGTGATTGTTACCTATCACTTTATACATCACATGGTCTTCTAATGATCGTTATCTATCACTTTATACATCCTATTGATCTTGTAATGATCGTTACCTATCATGTTATACATCACATAATCTTCTAATGATCGTTACCTGTCACTTCATATGTCCCATAATCTTGTAATGATCGTTACCTATCATGTTATACATCACATGGTCTTCTAGTGATCGTTACCTAACACTTTATACATCACATAATCTTGTAACGGTCGTTACCTATCACTTTATACATCACATAATCTTGTAACGGTCGTTACCTATCACTTTATACATCACATAATCTTGTAATGATCGTTACTTGTCATCTTATATATCATTTCATTCAAGAAAATTGTGTATAACTAAAGTTATGTTTCAAACATTAATTAACTTGTTAAAACTCAATCCAATAATTGTGTCATAAAAATATTTTATATTACACATCAAAAGCTTAAAACCAATTATTGCAATTTCAGAATGAGACTATATACATACAAGATTGTTTCACAATACAGATTATAATATGTATCAGTTTTATACAAGTAATATAAAACAGGTTGTATGTAGGGCTATAGTCATATCTATTGGTAATTGTTTATTGTGGGGTGTTTCTGGTTATTTTTAACATAGTAAATATAAGTGAGTTTAAGAGAAAGCTTGATAACTATATGAATGATAAGGGCTGATTTTGATCATTTTTTTTATATATGTATTTTATATATTTAATATTTTCCTTTTAGTTCAGAGGATGGGACAGCCTAGATGGACCAATAGGTCCATTGTTGTCCCTAAACATTATGTTATTTTAATGTTTTGTGTTCGAGTCTGAGGAGCGTAACAGTCCAACATTCTTTGTGTCAGAGCAACTTTCTGAAATAGTTCTCGCTTCTTTACAGAACACATTTTTGTAGTTTCTTTTTAAGTTGGAAATTTTCTTTGTAAATTAGTTGTGAATCTGACACTTGAAGTGCAAAAATTATAGAAGCTGAACAAACTAATTAAAAAATAAGAAATATTAAGCAGTTATACATACATCAAAGTTATCAGTCAAATTAAGTACAAAATCATCAACTAAAAATAAACAGTGAAACAAACTTTACTGTGTATTTTTTTCAGGCGATGTTGGCAGTGGATCCAAAATGAACCTCATTGTTAACATGATTCTCGGAACAACATTGGGAGCGTTAGCCGAGGCTATGGCCTTAGCAGACAGAGCCGGTTTATCCCAGAAAGATTTAATAGAGATTTTAGGACTTGGTTCCTTAAACTGCCCAATAATCATCGAAAAAGGCCAAGGTAAGTGATTAAAGGCAACATTTTGTAAAAAGGTTTATTCCGTTTTACAAGAAAATACACTGAATTGAAAGCTAACAAATGGATCAGATTGAATAGTTGTACAGTCTAGTTTTTATCATAAGTTGTAGAACAGGGTCAATTAGCTACTATGCTCACAAGTGTAAACAAAGAGAGCTGTAATTTTGAGAAGTAACTTTCCTACTATTTGATGATTCAGAAGTTAACTACTAAGCCTATTATTTATACTTAAGTTATTGTTCACTTTAATTTTGATTAAAAGATGGCCATTGATAATTACCTAAGATAAGACATTATAATATCTTCATCACCAGGTAATGAACAAACTAGTCAAGGTAACGATCATTAGAAGATTATGTGATGTATAACAGTGATAGGTAACGATCATTAAAAGATCATGTGATGTACAAAGTGATAGGTAACAATCACTAGTGATGTATAACATGATAGGTAATGACCATTACAAGATTATGGGACATATGAAGTGACAGGTAACGATCATTAGAAGATTATGTGATGTATAACATGATAGGTAACGATCATTACAAGATCAATAGGATGTATAAAGTGTCTTGTAATGATCATTACCTATCACTTTATACATCCTATGATCTTGTAATGATCGTTATCTATTTATGTGATGTATAAAGTGATAGGTAACAATCACTAGAAGACCATGTGATGTATAACATGATAGGTAATGACCACTACAAGATTATGGGACATATGAAGTGACAGGTAACGATCATTACAAGATTATGTGATGTATAAAGTGATAGGTAATATCTGATCCCCAGTCAGCTGTAGATGTAACTAAATAAACTGTAACATCACATTCTGATGTGTATCTGATCCCCAGCCAGCTGTAGATGTAATTAACTGTAACATCACATTCTGATGTGTATCTGATCCCCAGTCAGCTGTAGATGTAACTAAACAACTGTAACATCACATTCTGATGTCTGGCTGATCCCCAGACAGCTAAAAAGGTAACTAAACAACTGTAACATCACATTCTGATGTGTGTCTGATCCCCAGCCAGCTGTAGATGTAATTAAACAACTGTAACATCACATTCTGATGTGTATCTGATCCCCAGTCAGCTGTAGATGTAATTAAACAACTGTAACATCACATTCTGATGTGTGTCTGATCCCCAGTCAGCTGTAGATGTAATTAAATAAACTGTAACATTACATTCTGATGTGTATCTGATCCACAGTCAGCTGTAGATGTAACCAAATACAATATAACTTCACATTTGTAGCTACATTTTTCTTTACTCTTAGTTTTAAGCACCAGTTTCAAAGTTGATATGTTCAATTTTCTAGCTGTAGGTTAAAATGTATTTACATATAACTACTTATTGTTATATGCTTATTAAGTATGATTACCTTATTATTTTTTTCTCAAGAATAGTTCTTTGTTTATTTGAGCAGTTGGTGTTTGGAAACTGTGGAGTATTGAAGGAAATGAAAAGAAACAAAGGCTACGTGGAGATGACATCTATAGACCCTCAAACTTCTCAAGATGTAGCAGAGGTCAGTTTTTATTTTAACCTCAGTTTTTGGTTCTAGTGTATCGTACCATAAGTAGAGAGTAGTAGTATCGTAAGTAGAGTGCAGTAGTGCTGTAAGCAGAGTGCAGTAGTGCCGTAAGTAGAGTACAGTAGTGCCGTAAGTAGAGTGCAGTAGTGCCGTAAGCAGAGTGCAGTAGTGCCGTAAGCGGAGTGCAGTAGTGTTGTGTGTACTGTAAGTATACTACTACCTCAGAAAGATATCACATAATGTATCAAAGTCTTAGCAAACACAAACTTTTTATTTTGTGAAAATACCAATGTTTCATAAATCATGTAACTACTTTAAAAAGTTTTATTTCAACCTTAAATTAAAAACTCCTTGTTGGAATGAGTTTAGTAATTTCTAACGTGTCTTTTAATTTTTTAATTGCAAAGGACATTTGTGAGTAAATCTTGGAGAATAAAAATTATTGTTTCAGCACATGTGAGCTGCATGGCAAAGTGTAGAAACCAGAACTTTCTAATCGCTCAACTAACTGACTGGGACTTTACTGAAATATAAAAATAAGGCCTTAATTAGTTACTCATTTGTCATTGATTTTTGAGTGGTAACATAATCCCTCAGTTAGTTTAATGTCTTATTTATTTCAGGCTATTCAAGCACAGGGTGGGAGATACTTAGAGGCCCCAGTTCTTGGTTCCAAGCAACCGGCCGAAGATGGCATGTTGATTATATTAGCAGCCGGAGAAAAATCACTGTTTGACGATTGTACCAGCTGTTTTAAAGCTATGGGCAAACATGCCTTCTACTTGGGTTAGTTTAGAATGTTTCATGAAATATTATAACAAGAGGTACACGTGTACCAGACTGAAATTATTAAGCCCAATCTGAGCCAGGCCACTAGGTTGACCGTGAACGTAGAAAATATATATACATAGGAATAACAAATGGCACAGACTTAACTGAATGAATATTTTATTCAATGCAAACACTTTCGGGAATGAAAGTAAAGCTTTCTTATGTATTTTTAACTTAAAATTAAATATGTTAAATGTGACATTAACAAAAAATCCTTCTTTTGCCTCACTTAGATATTGTTAAGTACAAGGCTACTTGAGCACGGTCTTTCTTTACTTTTTGATTTAATGTAACATATTCACGCTTACACACCAGTCTTTACAACCATTTTTTGGCTTCTCGCTGTCATTAGCAGATTATATATTTGTAAACTAAGCTAGCCTCTGTGGCTCAAAGATCATCCAGCTGTAACAAGTGACCTACCAAATATTGTTCGAAGATCAACCAGCTCTAACAAATGACCTACCAAATATTGTTCAAAGATCATCCAGCTCTAACAAGTAACCTACCAAATATTGTTCAAAGATCATCCAGCTCTAACAGTGACCTACCAAATATTGTTCAAAGATCATCCAGCTCTAACAAGTAACCTACCAAATATTGTTCAAAGATTATCCAGCTCTAACAAGTAACCTACCAAATATTGTTCAAAGATCATCCAGCTCTAACAAGTGACCTACCAAATATTGTTCGAAGATCAACCAGCTCTAACAAGTGACCTACCAAATATTGTTCAAAGATCATCCAGCTTTAACAGTGACCTACCAAATATTGTTCAAAGATCATCCAGCTTTAACAGTGACCTACCAAATATTGTTCAAAGATTATCCAGCTCTAACAAGTAACCTACCAAATATTGTTCAAAGATTATCCAGCTCTAACAAGTAACCTACCAAATATTGTTCAAAGATCATCCAGCTCTAACAAGTGACCTACCAAATATTGTTCAAAGATCATCCAGCTCTAACAAGTGACCTACCAAATATTGTTCAAAGATCATCCAGCTCTAACAAGTGACCTACCAAATATTGTTCAAAGATCATCCAGCTGTAACAAGTAACCTACCAAATATTGTTCAAAGATCATCCAGCTCTAACAAGTGACCTACCGAATATTGTTTTGCTGCAGACAGCTAGTCTTTAATACAATGTAGAAAATTATATATTGTATAAATCAATAAACATTATCGTAATTCTAATAAAACTTTTATTTTTCTATATTGTCTAATGATTTTATGCAATGAGTTTTCTGCACGAGTCACATAATCGAAAATAATCCTGCAAAAGTTTCAGTAAGTAAAAATCTATTGTTGGCAACAGTGACTTCACCAGTGTCATCGGGACAGGTAGGACAATTGCCCTCGGGACCCTGTATACAGGGGCCTGAGAGACCCATCAAAATAATAATAATAAAAAGTGTTTACTCCAATCAACTGTCACTGTTTTTCGTTTTTAAGAAGTCGTATTAGAGAAATTTCAAGTAATGGCTTTACAACTTCTGTTTACCGTAAAGACACGTTTACTGGCCTTTTCACTCAGTTTGACAGCTTTATACACTTTTCTTTCTCATTCTCTGCCTTACCTCTTCCTTCTAGTCCTCATTCTCTGCCTTACCTCTTCCTTCTAGTCCTGCACAAAGAAATATCTTTCATACAAAGTATTCTTTTTGAAATGGCTGCCCTATGCATTTCTTTGAGAAAATAACTTAATTATTCTTAACTAATGTGTTTGTCAAACCACCCAAGATACCTACTGTACCTAGACTTCCTTTATACACCTGCTTACCATACCTTAAAATACAGAGCTCCCTTATCACAAAACAGTTGAAACAATTATGTAACTTTTACTATCCAAAATTGACCTGAAAATTATTTTGAAACCTATTTCTATAAAAAAAATGTCTACTTCAAAGATCGTGCACCACTGCCCATTGTTCACATCTCAGCTACATGCAGAAACTGTAAGGACCTTCTATGTTGGTGAAATCAGATGTCATCTTAAAGTACAAGCATTTCAACATGACTATAAAAACAAAACACAGCATCCAGTTCCTCTCTCCAACTTTCAAATTCTCTCAACAGCCAAGCATAATTACCGTTGTGTTTGTTTTGTATTACTGAAGATGGAATGCTTCCTATTATGTTTGTGTTTTGCTTTATTATTAAATTACATCTTATACATGTATTAACTTCATATATCCCATAATCTTCTAATGATCATTTAATTACATATATAGCTGACTGGGGATCAGATACACATCAGAATGTGATGTCACAGTTTGTTTAGTTACATCTACAGCTGACTGGGGATCAGACACACATCAGAATGTGATGTTACAGTTTATTTAATTACATCTACAGTTGGCTGGGGATCAGATATACTTTAATTACATCTACAGCTGACTGGGGTTTAATTACATCTACAGCTGACTGGGGATCAGACATTCTGATGTGTTGTGATG